GTCAGAGAGGGGGACTCTGCGATGGACACAATTAGGGTTGCAAAGGGGCGGAAAATGTCCATGGGAAAACTGATTTTTTATTTAATTTTTTTTTTAAGTAGAACAGAACAAGTTTTAATTATTTTATTGAACAATTATTTGTTTCATTGAAGAAAAAAACAGGAATGTTGAGTTAATATTACTCATCTGTGCATGTGATGGAGGAATGCACAGTGCCTGTGTAGGGGGTGTGGTCTCAATAGCCATGCAGTAAGCAGTGTGCTATGGCATGGATATTCAAGTGTACTTTAATGGCATCTGTTTGTTTTAGTCAAGATTATGCTAAAATATACTTTCCCCAACTATTTAAGTTCCCTATGAAGAGCCAACCTTTAATTTTGAAAATTCCCAGTTTATTCCCATGGAAAGTTTCCATCTTTGAAAACTCCCGGAATTTTGTAACCCTAAGCACAACACAGTGCAGTGTTATGCAGCATGTTCGCTGGGGTTCTACTCAGATAGTTCAGGCATGCAAAACGCCTCTTCAGTACTCCATTCAAGTGCTCAATGGCACACCTTGTTCTTCCATGAGCGTTGTTGTAGCGCATCTGTGAGGGAGTGTTGGCCGTGAGAAAAGGTGTCATCACCCATGGTAGGAGTGGGTAGGCACTGTGGCTAATATAACTCCATCCGGCCTGTTGGTTTGGAATTCAGTGAACAACCGGCTCTCTGAAGATACGTGCATCGTGGACTGACCCAGGCCATCTCACAACACAGTTGGTGATGGCAAGGTCAGCATCTCCCACAAGTTGCACATTGATGCTGTGCCTCCCTTTCCTGTTGACATATTCCCACTCCCTCTGACGAGGTGCTTGGATATGTACATGGGTGCAGTCGATCACCCCAATGGTGTTGGGCATGTCTCCCAGAAGAAAAAATTCTGCTTCACTTTGGCAATCTGGCCATCAGTGGGAAAAGTCACAAAGTGATCCAGCAGGCGAGCCAGTGCATCAGACACAGCTGTCACCACTTCACCCACTGTTGTCCTGTGGACTCCCATGCTGTCAGCTATGACCTCATAGAATGTTCCACATACGTAAAAGCGCAGGGCAATGAGGACCTGTTCCTCTACAGTCAGAGCATGACTCCGCAAGGTTCTGCACTGCAGTTGTGGCCTGACCAGATCAGCAAAGTAGTTGATGTCATCAAGTCCAAATAAAAAACGATTGTACAGTTCTTCTGTTGTGTACTGTTGGAGAGGTTTGGGGCGCTCGGTGTGGACCCTTTGGCGGTAGCCTCTCCTTCCAGCATGGAAGATGTGAACAATCCCTGCCATGACTGTGTTCTGACTGTTGTTTCAGTCAGTAGGCCTACATCAGTCTCTGAATAACAACTAATTGCAAATACACACCTGGAATGAATGTCCAGATTGGTTAGGGCCTGTGGTTAATTATGTATTAATAGCAAGGCCAGACCTATAAAACTAATTGCTGACCTGACCAAACCATTGAGTTGGAAAGATGGACAAAAAGGGGCCTAATTTTACATCTGCTGAGACCCATGCACTGCTGGGGTGTAAGGAACAATTATGACTCCATAGTTGGAGCTTTAACAGAGAGGGTGGAGCGACTAAACTGAAGAGCGGAATATGGATGGAGGTGACAGACAATGTGAATGCCTCCTCGATTAATTCAAAAAGGGCTTGTCTTGCTGAAACGAAACCTTTCTATTAGCTCACTGTCCGAATAGATGTCCAGTGGGTTGGTTCGATCATGGACGACTCTCTCTCTTCTTAATGCCCTTTCATTGTTAAACCTGTAAACAAGACGCCCTGCCATCGTTGATATCCTTCTTGCCTGTTTAACGTTACTATGGATACTAGTCTGTCTTTCCGATTGCCTGCTCCATACTAGGCGTAAAAGTTACTTGTTGGTATTGCATTTGAATTGTAGTATAATTATAGAGCAAGGCAGGAAGAAAGATAGGTCGTTCTGGCTCGGGAAACACTTCGAAATGTGGAGAAGTTGTGAACAAAAAGACAATTATCAGAAATATAAAACAGTTCAATATTTTAAGGAATAGATAGCCCAGTGGGTAGAGCCGGCGGCCCGAATGCGGCGTGTCCTCCGCGCAGCTGGTTCTACGCCCGGAATGGACGTACTTTTAATCATTGCTTTTCAACTTTAATACTTAATAACTGATAAAAGGCCATCTCCTCCCAAAAAAATTCCAGCACTCTGTAGTCTCTTCTCAATAACCCAATACACACAATTATCAATCTTTAATTGCAAATAGAACATGATATTCAGTCTTAGTGTGTGTGTGCATCAAATATTTTTCAAGGCAAAGATACGTTAAATCCACTGCAGCCTTGCACTTCGCCAGGAGAGGTCGATGTAACTGAAGCTTCGAGAAATGAACCTTTTCCGACACAATTGTCCAAGTGGTTCGATGCTTCATTCAAAGCTTCATTTTGCCATCACTAGTTACAACCCGGCTCTTGGGCTGCAACAGAAAGCTGCGAGACGAGGGTCTGAAAGTAACAATCCTTTTATTATGTGGACACTCAAAAAGACAGCCGCGACACGAAACTCACACGGGGAGTATGCGAAAGGAATATGAGAGAGAGAGAGAGACGTATCCGGCTGGGCCCTCTTCTTATAGGCTTTTCGACCCAGGTGCAGCTCATCAGGTAATTGCCAGAAAAAGAGCAATTATAAGTCCAAACATTTTTTTACTGGGGGACGCTATTTTAATTAGGTCCAAACAATGCCACACAAGTGCGCACACGCAGTGCACTCACAAAACGGGCAGACAGGTCCACAGAAACCGGCATGTATGCTTAATCCTACTGTAGTTTACTGTACTGCAAAAAGAAGACAGCGCTGCGCTCAACACACACACAGACTCAAAACCATGGACACACGGCACATAAATTACATAAACAATGTATAGGCCTAAATTGCATAAGCTACAGTATTGCAACTAAGGAGACAGCGCTGCTTCTATCTCTCTCTATCTCCACTTCAAAATCTAAAAACCATAACAAAACAAACTAAATTCCCAAAGTTGTCCTGAAATTAACTTATTAAATAAACAAAACGAAAATAGAGCCTACTTATGCAAAGAACATGAATCGGATTTGAAATTATTCTGATTAAGCCTACATGGCAAGAAGCAGAAGAGCGCGGCACACACACCACACACACACACACACACACACACACACACACACACACCACACACACACACACACACACACACACACACACACACACACACAACACACACACACACACACACACACACCACACACACACACACGCACCCAACACACCCACACACACACACACACACACACACACACACACACACACACACACACACACACACACACACACACACAACACACACACACACACACACCACACACACACACACACACACACACACACACACACACACACACACACACACACAGTTCCCCGCCACATCTCCTCCGTCCATACCTTGGGAAAGTTGAGCTTGAGCTAGCCAGGGGAACGTTGCTAGCGCAGCTAACGTTAACGTTAGTGCTAGCATTATCCACGGCTCTTCGATGATGTAGTACTAGTAGCAGCTTCACTTGTAGCTTCGGTGCTGCTAGCCTCTTTCTTCTTGTGAATGATATTCTTTTTAGAAAAGAAGTAAAGTAAAAAATGTTTTTCTGCCCTTATAGGCTTTTTTCGTTAGCGTTCTTGAGGGAAAGAGCTGCCGCAAAATCGGCGGGCGGCGAGCTGGGGGAGTTGTGGTCACTGGCACCCCCAGCTCGCCGCGTGGGTCACGAGCGTGATCACGAAGCATCATTTTTTAAGGAAATCGTTTTTATTTTTTATTATAATTACTTACTGTGAAATGTATTATGTTTTTGTCATTATTACAACAAATACACACTTGCAACTAATAACACTGGCAATGATTTTATGTATTAGACTATTGAAAAAAGATCATGCTCCAACGCCCACTACACCACTGCTCTTAACCATATCACAACAGGGAACAAACTTGGAAAAATGTCGTGGGAAATTACAGACTCTTTGCAACCCCTGTCATCATCGACACCTAATCCATCATGAGTACCTTTACATGCAATCATCTCATGACTAATCTTAGTTTATATCATATTCAGATGCAGTAGGGAATTTGTTCAATACATTTATTTAATCTTAGCATGTAAATGTGTTTCCTGGTATGGGCAGGGATGTCTAGAGATTATAACAAACAAAGCAGAGATTAGAGTCAATGCTGTGATGAAACTGGACTTGTGAAATCATTTCAAAAACGTGCCACAGCATGCAACCTCTAACTTCCCTCTTCATTGTTCACATGGGCGTGATTGGTCAGCAGTGACTATATAAACCCTGTTTGTTTCACAGCATAATCAAACTCTTCATTTCATCATCATGGACAAAGGTGCACTGCTGATGCTCCTGTGTCTGCAGGCTTTCCTGCTCATCACCACCGTACCTTCCTCTGAAGCAGCCGCTCTGCTGAGAGAGGATCTGACTCCACCTGATCGTCGGGTAAGAGCATCCAGGAGCTGCGATATCTCTGTGTTCTGACAGGACTCTTCTGCTCTAAATAACACTGCACAGATTTATAGCAGGGACTTTTTAAACTATACAACAAATGATTTCTCACTTGATGACTTCGTGATTTTCACGTAGGTGGATTTGACTGCACTTGAGAGATTGAAGATTAGACCACGATGGTCCGGCTGCTGGTGGAGGCCAGGTGCATGTTCAGCCAAGGTAAAACAGAATGTGCTCGATTTTTTATTTTATAGGCTATATATAAATTAACACTATCATCTGTGATTTATTTCAAAATGTTTTCCTTAAATAAGCTCTAACTTGTTTGTCCTCTTGTCCTGCTTTAAAATGTTCACACTTTAGCAGGTTATTGAAAATCTTAATCAAAAAGGATTTTCCATAAATCGCAGCGATGATATAACTTAATTATTATTTGTGTTTGTTCCGTTACAGGTGAAACCACGCACAAACCTAAAGGTATTACTCTGATCTTTAGTGAAAACATACAAGCAGATAAGTATTTAGATTTAATAGCCAGATTTTAAACTCCTGCAGGCAGAAAGAAGAAGAAGCTTTTTCTTTCTTTATCTGTGAACTGTTTCAAACTCTCTTTATCTCTGTTTACAGATTCTATCCCTCGACTGCTGGCCGCTTTGGGCAAACACACGTAAATGTGCTTCATATTTTGAGGATAAATACAAAGCGTTTATTTATTTGTATTTCCAATTTGCAATACATTCAAATAAAAAAAGAGATTGTGTAGGTAAACGATTGATTTCAAATCCTGGTGATGTAATATTTCTACAATGATCATATGATGTGTTTTCTTGCTCTACACTTTTATCCTTTTATCTCCACATCAGTCATAAGAAGAAAGTGGACCTGGCCAGTCTCCAGTAATGGAGACGGACATGAACTCCTGCAGCTTCTCTACAGCTGTTCTGTTTTTGCTTAACCATTCGCATTTTTGGACACAATAATCAATCATTGCATTAGCTTAGCATTGTGAATACCAAATCTGTATACTCAATGCTAATGCTGTAGCTCCCAAGGCTAAATGTAGGGTCAATCCTAAATGCTACAATGCTACATTTCTTTTAATATTCAGTTTATTCATTTACGAAAACTGTTACATTTAAGTATTTTGTTTTCATTATTTTGTGCCTGGCCTCTAGACATATTATTATTTTCATTATTTGTGATCATATTTAAGGATCATTGTTGGAGGGAGCCTATAACTTAAAATGTTCATTGCCAATGACCTTTGCTATGTAACTGTTGCCAATATGATTATTAAAGAACCTTAAGATGAACTTTATGTGTTTTTTTTTTTATCAGTGTGTGGCATTCAGCTGGCTCAGTAAAATACTGAACAGTATATTCTAATTATAAAATGAAAGCATCTGCTCTGTGTTGAAGGGTCACACACTACACATATTGTAAACAGCCTGTCCTCCTACAAAAACGACCAAATAGGTCGATTGTTTAAGCACCTTATTACGACCTATAGCCACGTTTTAAAGTGTAGCACCTCTAGTGGTCGTGTAAGAAAACAACATGCTCCCGTTTATTCACAAATAACCCTCTCTGGAAAATCCTAAATTGTAGATAGTTTGGCCATTAAAATGCTTTTTGATTAGATTTCTAGCGAGAAGTGTATATTGTACTTTTAGAATCCACGTCCAGTTGATGTGTAGGATCTATAGTTTGATAGATATTACGAAGATGATTTGAGGTCTCGCCAGGATAACGTGAATATGCGGCAGCTTCCATGTAAAGTTAGCGTGGGTGAAAACAGTTTTTCCGGCTCGAAGTTTTCATAATAAAATCGGATATATTCCCCTCACTGTCCAAATGATTACACAGTGATATTGCATTACTCATCCACTAAAAAACATCAGTTTATCCTTGCTAATTACACAATATTGATTGGTTTAAATTGTGTACAATGCAGTGGGCGAAGCAGTGACTTTTATACCTAGGCCCTCTGACCCCCCCCCACTTCCCTCGAAAAAAAAGAAGAGTTATACGTCACACCGTATACTTAAGCGGAATATCAAAACAGCGGCCCGGGGTGCAAACTTATCAATGACAGCGACCCTCTACCCAAAACACAAAACACCATTTATCTAAACACCTATCATGACAGGGCACCCACAGCCAAGTAACAATTACAAATGAATTAAGTCGGCACGGCGGCCCACATTGAAAATGACTTAGGCCTACCTTTGATGATCAATCACTCAACACAAAGTCCATCCTCCTTCCTTTGGATGAAGCACTTGATGGCGGGGTCATGCAGCTGATCCTTTGCCACTCTAGTTTATCCTTGTAACTCAATCTTGAAAATTACTCGGTAATAATTTTGCAAACGATGTCATGACGAACTTATGCTAATCATAAATGTATCGATCATAAATCTATCGATTAGATTTATGATTCGAAAATAATAAAAGTAGGGTAGACATGTGGATATTATCCGGCTGAACAAAACGTGCATTTATCGAACAGGTTCGTTTTCCACAGACCTTATTTCAAGCTATTTTCCAAAATCCTATGGAGAAATCCCATTGCTTTTTTGTCGAGGGAATCCGAGCATAGATATATATAAACACGTGTTTATATATATCTATGAATCCGAGCGCAGCTTACTTCCGGGTTTTAGGATGCGTCACTGCACCACTTGCATAAGGCGCTTTCACACTGCGGTACTTTTCCCACAAAGGTTCATGTGAACTCTTTAGTACAGATCGCAGATTCACACTGTAAAAAGTCCCTGGGGGTGGATTAGGCAAATGAAGCCACTGACGTCACTTGTTCTTCTTCTGCTTTGGGTTTACTGGCAGGCCGCAAACCACTTCACGGCGTATACTGCCACCCGGAGTCCCCGGCCGGAAGTCCCCGGAGTTAGGGACTGGCTTCAGTAGAAGCTGCTGGGACTCCCAGCAGCTTCTACTGAAGCCTTCCGAGTAAATCGCCAGAACGCCGACACCTCCTCATCTCCACCGCTCCCATGTTTTATTTTGTGTTGCCATAAGTTAGTCTCTCTGCGTTTCTACGTGGGCTAATGCTAATGCTAATAATGCTAATGCAAGGATAATAAAATGGCGGCTTCACAAAACTTTTTGGGAGTTTTGCGGGGCGTGGTTTGCAATCCTTCCAGCCAATCAGAAATATAGCTCTTTTCTCACAAAAGAGCCGCTCGAAAGTCCCTGCTCTCTAGCAGGGACTTTCGAGGGGGTAAAAAGGTTCACATGAACTAATTTTAGTACCGGCTCTTTTTGGTGTGAACGCGATAAAAGAGTTCACATGAACCTTTGTGGGAAAAGTACCGCAGTGTGAAAGCGCCTATAGACTTCACAGCGGGCGGAACTTGTCATAAAGTCCGCGAAAATAAAGCCCGCCCATTTAGAGGGAAGATATGATTGGTCAATTGTAGCCTACCCTAACCAACATGCTCTCCCGTTTCGCAGATACGGCATTTAACCCTTCACATTCCAACAGAAACTGAACAGGCAGATTCGAAGGATTAATTAAATCAAGTTATTTTGGTAAAACTAATGAAAAATGTAACAACAAAAAAATATTTAAAAAATATTTAATATATTTTTTTATGTTTTCAAATATTATTTTTTAGAATATCTTAGGCCCTCACAGAGGGCCTAGAGGGCCATGACGGCTCGCCACTGGTACAATGCTTTTGTGTTTTTAACCTTCGATTCAGAGAAACAAATAGTTTTTTAGGAGTTTAGACCATAGACTGTATATATAAAGGTTTAGACACTACAGTTTCCGAAGACACTACACTACCCAGAACCCCCAGCTATCGTTTGGGACTACAACATGCTTTACAAACCCCGTGATTAGTCATCAAGCCCTGTGATTGGATGTTGGAAGGGCAGTGCGACAAGGTTACGCTGAGCGTCAACAGCTCTTTGAAATGGAATGGAACCACGGCAGACTTTCCAAAACTGGAAATTAGAATAATGGGGAAAGGGAGTGACTTCGGGGCACTTTGGTGACACTGGCATGTTTAACAGCTGTGCATCAGCTGTAGCCTGTCAGCGTGTCAGATCCAAAAGCAGTCCTGCAGTCCCTGGGTCACAAAGTTTCTAGATTTCCTTGTATTTTAGTAAAACACTGATGTCTAAAACACTGAGCTTCCTTTATGTTATAATAACAGGGTGTAAACCACCTAACCGCAGAACAAGTTATTACACAAAACAATCATAAACCTTACATTTCACCAGTTGTCTGAATTTAAACTATATTATGTTTGTGATCACTCATTGACAACAGAAGAATAATACAAAACAAAATACAAGTAATTTTCCCCTTTGAGGTCTCTACATGTGTATGTGATTTAATGTGGCCATAGGAAACAAGTATTTCATGCTGAAGAGTGTAATCCGGTGTTTGTGTTTTCTGTAACTGGGCGGTGAAGCTGATTGAACACAAAAAAGGAGAAGGAAGCATGATTTAAAAAAAAAAAAAATAGGCTAGCGTGCCAAATCTTGATGGATTCAACCCGAAAGTTAATCTTGCACATTCCTCATCGTTGTGTGTGTAAAATGAGATACAGTCAGACACCATCAATATGCTTTTTCAGTAGCAGTTTTCACATTTTGCAAGTCTGCACATCATTGTATTTCTACACTTTATTCTTTACTTTATTTAACTATCTTATTATATTTTAGCTTGTGCTTGCTGTGCTAATATTATCCTGTTTTCCAGTGACCATTTTTATATTGTATCTAACTGCCTCTTAGTCTTATGTGCTTCTTTTGCACTTTGTCCTAATGTTTTATGAAACATTGAATTGCCATGGAAATGTGCTATAAACCTTCTTTGCCTTTACTGCTGGAATAAACCTCTTCAATGTCATTAAAGTTGACAAAACTGTAATTATCTTCAAAATATATCTTTCAACATCCGTCTCATTTCTTTACTTTTATGTTTGCGTTGTTCCTTTTTTGTTTAGATGCTGTTAACACATCTGCTGTTGTCTCAGTTTTAACATGTTTATAACACAGAAATGGTTTCCTCATAAACAGTCAAATGATTTGGTTTCTGTCTCCTGTCACTTGACCTGTTTCCCTCCCTCTCTGACTCATCTTTCTCAGAAGTGTGTTTGTGTTTCTACAAGACTCGGCTGGATTCGATGCTGAACTGTTTCCCGGCTCTTTGGCAGTAATTGGTGGAAAGACTGGATCTGCACTGATTTCTGGGCGTGTCAAATCCTGCGTCTACTGTAATAATGTCATTGGTGACATTAATAGTTTTGGATACGCTTGTCAAGCTATTTTTCCTTGTAGATTAAAATGTCAATGACAGATTGTGATTTATAGTGTGCTGTAAATTGCTTTATATTGTAGCATAAAAGCATAAAATACAACTAACAGGACATTGTGTAAAGAGGTTGGCATCATTTTATCTGTTTTTAAATCAATTTCTGTTGTTTTGGGGTTTATTATTTTACTGATATCTTCTATTGTTAGCCTGCCACTATTAGTCCAGATGATGTTTAATATTACAAATATTTGTATACACATGTCACCACCAGTTATAAACATGCAGCTCAAATAAATAATCTTAAATTAATGAGGAATTCTCCCCCCCCCCTGGGTTGTGTCTCATGCTGCATAGAGGTGTATTGGAAACACTGAAGCACTACTTATATATATTTGTTTGGTGCTTTCCTTGTAGATTTTTATTTTTCTGCTACTTAAAGGTAGGGTAGGTAAGAATGGAGAAACCAGTTCGAGTGCGTTAGAATTTGAAAGTACGCACTACGCAGCCGAAAGAAATCGGCCCCTTCCTTCAGACTTCCTTACAGAGCCCCTCCTCTACACACACGACCGTGCGCATGACCAATGAGGGCACGAGATAAGTTTGGGCACAGATGGAAGGCTGACAGGCAGGTAGGCCATCCAGTTATTTTAGCCGGGCCGGCTAAAATGATTGGTCGTGCTTTTTACAGCGCCACGGCTTCCACAGATGACATTTTTTTTAATGTATTTATTGTCAAAGCATCTAATATATTCATTGCTATCGGGATGTTAAGAGTATTCCATGGAATATAACAAAACTTTCTGAAGTGAATTACCTACCCCACCTTTATTAGGAGGCAACGTTATATTTATTATTTACCTAAAACTAAATGTCATTACATTTGTATTAACTATGGCAACAATCATCTCATCTCCCTTTGTATTTATCCTGTGACCACTTGACAAAACAAACTGTATAAAGCCTTAAGACTTTTACACATTAATGCATCAGTAATATGACCAAATAAAGTGATGCAGAGGTT